ATATATACATATGTATCTGCGCGGTGTTGCAGGTCTCTAGGTTACAGATCTTGTGAATAGGATTGGTCTTTGCGGCTCTCTTCTAGGCAAGGGTGTGCACTGCGAACACTTTCCTAAATGGCTTTGCTTTTAACTATCTTTCGTTGTTTCTTCTAGCCTTTTACCTCTTATCACCCACGACCTTCAGGTTGTTCTAGATGTCTCCGCCTCAATTGGCACCTACATATACATACATACATAGATCAATGTTTCCAGCTTTATCTAAACAGTGGCAATTAGTTGCTGTTCTTCTTTTGACGCCATAGGTATAACGGTATGCTTCCGCTGGCAGGCAACGACAAACAACAAACAAACTAAACGATGAAAAAGCGAAGATCAAAGGGAAGCTAGGGGGTAATTTATTGGAAACTGTGCGGAAAATGGGTTGGTAACCTTCGCTTTCGATTGGGTTGGGTCGGGTGGTTCTCTTCTGTAATAATCAGATCCACCTGTTGAACGTATCGAAAACAACGGTTGGATTGTAATGACATATCATCGATTTTCATAATCATGAGAGATCGAAGGCTTTTGGATATACGTTCTATATGCGCTAACCTATATGTATAGTTCCTGAAGAGCAACAAACTATTTTCGTGCTATCTTCAAACATTGCTCGAAAAACAAGAGCCATGAAAATCAAGAAAGAATTCTATTTTTAAAACGGGCCGATGAGCTTTTTTTTGTAGTTTTTGTTTTAGCTTTTTTTGTGTGTTAGTCCTATGTTGTTGTTGTCGTGGTGGTGGTTGTGTTGGCTCGGTAAAATATTGAAACATAATCGAAAAATATAGAACCCAGCCAGACTAAAGAGCATATATCCAATACATATAAACTGTGCATACAGTAGGTATCCAAAAAATTGGCCAATGAAATGAGACTTTCATCCCGAAATATTTGGCGTATTTTCAAAATATATGACAACGTTAACCTTCACATTTATTTGTTGGATTGTGAAAATTATACGTCTTTGAACGTTATTTCCCTAAAACTGTTTTCACAACTTTTAATTCTATTTCTTCTTCTTCTTAAACTTCTGGTCTTGGTTTAATTTGGTCATTAAAAGTTTTTCAAGGACCAAAATTAAGGAAAAGTAATAGTTAAGCACTGACAAAGCTGTATTGCCCTAGCAGTTCTATCAAGAAAAAATAAATTTAATCTAGATTGTAAAACAGAAGTCCAAGGTGACTAATTTAAGAAAGGTTTGTGATTTACGAGTTTAGTTATATGATTAAGTAGAAAATTTATACAAATCTGAAGCAAAGGGATGGGCGGGTGGGCGTTGCCTTCCCTCTTCTTACTCACCTTCTTCTGTTGCTTCTCCCACGCTGGATCGAGGAGGCCCTCGCGCTCCCACTCCTCTTCCTGCTCCATGTAGCCATCTCCATACTCCATGGAGAGTCCGTTCTCCATCATCATCTTGTGGCGCTGTCAGATGTCCCGCTCGCTCAGTATATATCTATATCGTTCCCTGTCCCGCTGCACACTCTCTCGCTCGCTCTCGCTGCTGCTGGTGGTGCTGTTGTTCTTGGTGATCCAGTTGCTGCTGCTGCCGAAGGAAAACGGAGGTTGTAGGTTGGAGGTTGCTAATTGTTGGCCGGTTGTTCTTGTTGACGCGGCTCACTATACAGCCAAGTCGTTCGTTTTGGTTTGGTTTGGTTTTGGTTATATTTCTGGTTCAATTCTCAGATACAGATTCTGATTCTGATTCTGGACAGTCTCTATATAACTGTTCTTGCCTATGCGGTGCGTATGTGTGTGACAGAGTGCTGACTGACTGACAGACCGATTGATTGATTGATTGATCGATGGCGAAAAGCTTGTCCCAATCCTGAAAGCTCCCCTGAGGAATGACAACAACAACCTGTCACAACAGGTGGTTGCCGCTCTACCCGTTTTCCCCTTAACCGTTTCCCGCTAATATTTCTAGTTAAAAAAAAAAAGATTCCAATCATGAATTTGAACTGGCAAAATCGTTGTATAACACGTTAATTTGCTGCTTAATTATTTTAGCGTTTGCTTTGCTCGTTCTTTTGTGTGTTTTCCGCGCTCGTTCCGTTTCGTATCGTATCGTATCGGTTAAAAATAGTATGTTTTGAAAAAGTTTTATTTTCGGCGTCAACGTCAACGCAGCGAAGGGAAGTAGGCGGGGACGGGAACGGGGATGGGGGCGGAGAAGGACGGTACGGGATTGGTACATATTTGAAATAATTTTGAGAAATAGCGCGAATTCGGATCGGAAATCGGAACTGATCCGGTAAATATAGATCGATATACTCGCGTTGAGTGGCTCTCCTTCTTTTTTTTAGTCTTATTTTTTATATTCGTAGCACTTTGAATCTCCATATAGATCATATATATGCACATATTGTTCGGATATATATAGAGATATATGTGGTTAGGCATATATAACCATCGAACGCACACACACACACACACACATACACACCTCACACATATGCAAAGTTTTCATTACTTTTTTTTGCTTCGCTCATTTTTTTTTTTTAAATTTTTGTATTTATATTTATTTTTCAACGAGTACCAAAAAAAAAACCAAAAAAAAAAGAAAATAGAGTATAACGAAAGCAAGTGAGTCGGTTAGCCAGATATATATACATATATATATATATCTATATCTATTCGTGTGTGTGTATTGAAACCAAACAAAAACAAAAACAACAAAACAATCTGTGTGGACAGCAATTGGAGCAATATCTACGTGTGTCGCTTGCGAAGAGAAAGACCCGCTCGCGTTGATAGCCAACTCAAAACTGATGTCGCGCCAGCCAACAGCCAACTCTGAATACCGTCGCAGTCGTCGTCGCAGTCGCAGTCGCCGCTGCTGCCATTGCCGCACCATAGCCCCCATCTGCCCCCACATCCTCCACCGAAACACAGCCGCAGCACAGCCACAGCCACAGCAGCCGTAGAAGAGGAAGAAGGAAAGTCTGCCGTGCAGCGGGAGCATCGGATCGAATCGGATCGGTTTGGATCGCTTGCTATTGCCGAAGATCCAAACATCCGAAGACCCGAAGAGTGGAGAGGGAAGAGTGCCAGAGTGGGAGTGGGTGGCAGAAGAAAGTATGAATTCGGCCAGCATAAGCGTACGAATCATGGGACCCTATAGTTTAGTGATGATGTGGGTTATGATATTTTCACAGTTCTTAGTTTCTTGCTAACTGATCATTTAGTTTCTGTTGCCTTATTTTTTAAATAAGATCAAAGTACTTGTGATATTTAAATATTTAACTAACTTATTACGTCCTGAATTTAGGCAGAAGAGTATACCCCATCTAATTGCAAACAATAAATGGGTATCGCAAATTTCGAACACTTTTTCTCAGCGTTCTTTCTTGTTTTCGCTCAATTTCAGCTGCGGCTGCTGCCTGTGGTCCCCCGTGTTACTGGTTGGGCTGCCCCGAAGAGAGCTCTTCGACTTCCATTAGTGAAATTGGTAGGAAAATGCAGTTGCAGGCGACACACGAAGAAAGTAAGAGAGATGCTAAGAGGAAGCACCCTGTATGCAGAATGCTGAGACGACCGACAACAACTTGTTGGCCCCCACGTCAGCTTGTCTGTCTCTCCACCTCCCTGTTCGCCCTGTTCTCTCCTTGTCTGTCAGCGAGTCTCCGCGGTTCAGACAGCATCCACCCATAACCCCCCTTCCTGGGTCTTCGGAAAACGCCCCCGCATAACTACGAAAATAGCAAATTGTTAATTTCGCTTCGAAAACTCTTTTTCAATACACACACGCAAATCGAAAATCGGGGAAGGAAAAGAGGTTTTAGGGGGAGCACATGAATTTATTGGCATGCTTTCATGGTTTTTCCGTGCGAAACATTTCATTTTTCATTTCACATTTTTCAACACGCTGCTACATAGGTTTATTTGTGTGGGTCTTTTTTTTTTTTTTTTTTCGTCGACAGAGAGAAACGATATTTATGAAATTTATTAAATATGCTCGCAAGCCACAAAATCAAGGATAGCGATTAGCTAGACCAATAAAAACCGCCCACATTAAGTGTGGACACTCGTCTGTCTCTTTCCCCCATTCAGCCCCCTTTCTTTCACTCTGTGTGGGAGCTTTCGAAAGCTCCAGATCTCATTATATTCAAATGGAGAATCTTTGAATACATTTATTCCAATAGACAACACTTTAAGCATCAGCAAGGATCCCCAATAACATATAGATCAGAGTAATATATCAGTCGTTTTGCCCCAATTTTAAGCTATTCCTTTAGAGTGAGATGTATAGATAAGATAGAAAGATGTATAGACAGGACAGAGATAGAACCGAAATCTGTCTATTTATAGATCATAATGTGCGTCGTCAGTGGCTGGTTTTGTTCTTTTTTCGAAAACAATATCTATTCTTAGTCGCTGCTTGTGCGTTAATACCATATTTTTGTAAATACATACTAACATACATTCCCGCTGAGACATAAATTTTATAAAAATTGACCAAATGCCATCTGAAAGGCAGCCACATCAAGGTGAGGAGTGGGGGCCCGGAGTGCTAGCCCACAGACCAAAAATCATTGGGTAAGCACGGAACACAAACACACTCCTGCTCAGGTGCAGTCCGGATCGAAAAGAACGATCTATCCTTACAAGGATTATGGTTCGGGGTCACCTATCTTTTCGATTGATGTTCGCATTATACAGTTCAGATCGAAAATTGAATTTTAAATAGTCTATTTTTGAACAGTTTCAATACTAAAAATTTATTTATTTCCTTCATCTAATTATATCACACATAGATTTGGAAAGAGGCCAACTATTAAACGGCAATTTTAATAAATCTGTTAAATATTTATGCGAACTTTGTATCCCGTAGTAAGAAATAAATCCAAAGAACATCGCCTTACAGTACCGAAACGCACCGTTCATATATGCAAAAATGAAAAATCATATATTCGTGTGGACAATTGGATTAATAGCAGATCCGCAGATAAAACGATAATCTATCTTGTTATGCAGTTTATATTTTATACATATATATATTTTGTTGGTTTTCGTCTGTGTTTTTTGTATCTCGCATGTAATTGATAACGCTTGGGTACAATTATTTTAAAAAGTAATTACAATTGATTTAGAACTGGGCCAGCAATGCAGATATGCGCTTGCCGACATATATATGCATATGTATACTGAACTTGTATGTTTACATACGTCTGTAGATCATAACTATGCTTTAATTTTAACCTTTTTTATATTATATTTACTCTTTTAGCTTTAGTTTAACTTTTACTTTGCTTGTTTTCTTTTGTTGTTGTTTTTTTTTTTGTGTTTTGTGTTCTTTTCAAGTTTTGGATTTTGTTTGTTTTTCGTTTACTGGGACATAAACGTCGAGGAGGCTAATCTTCATCTTAAGGAAAACATTTTCTATATCATTAATAATAATATTAGGTAATAAAAAAAAAATAAACAATTACATACACATTTAGCGTAATATTAGAAGGGTTTTTGGAGGATATTAGGGGGACAGAGGAGAAATGCAAACAAACGCAATCACAATGAAACATTTTTCGGGCGGAGAACGGGGTCGATTTCGGAGTCTGACCCCTACTCCAGTTTCATCGCCAGGCCGGGCGGCGCCGGCGCTTCCAGCTGTTCAAGGAAAAGCTCCTCCAGTGGCCTATCGCTAGTAATGCGAAAGAGGAACAGGTGGTCCTGACACTTCAGACTGATCGATCGGAGCGCTGGTAGGCGCAACAGAAGTTGCGCAAAGCGTCCGTCATCACCTGGGTGTTCCTGGCGACAATGTTCGTCCAGACAGGCATACACTTTTTCGCGGCACATCTCAATCTCCGCCCGGTTCTTAATTCCGCGTATATCCGGGTTGTACAGTATAATTGCCTTCAAGCAGGACAGCTCACGACGATCCAGATTCAGCCGCTTCATCTTTACGCTCAGCTCAGATAGAATGCGGTCGAATATCGCCGACACGCCGGCCTTAATCGCACTGTTGCGATGATACGAGAAACTCTGGTTAAGGAACAGCTGTTGTGGCTGCAGTCCTGGCGATCGTCGCTCAAAAGACCCATCGTGGCCGAGGCCACCTCCACCGCCACCTCCGGTACCGCCGTCATCCAGCGACACGATGCTGCACCAGGCCACGTTCGCAATGAGCAGCTCGATCCATGCCGCCTTCAGCAGGATCACCTGGTCATCTAGTGGTACTTGTGCAAAGTGCGGCATCATGCGCGCATATTCGACCATCTGGAAGAGTTGCTTGTTGACCACCTGGCACAAGGCGGATACAGCGCCCTTATAGTCTGGCTGCACTGTGGAATATGGGCCGACGCGCAGGAAGGTCAATGCTCGGTCGCCGCTTAGGGTCTCTGCCCGTTGTTCGGCCTCTATAATTCGCTCGATTGAGAAATCTCTGGATACGCTGTTGGTCATAAAGTCCTCGGAGCCGTTACCGCTGCCTATGCCGCCAGATCCACTACCCAAGCCGCCACCTCCTCCTCCACCGACAGAGCTGGAACCACCCACCGAGCCTGGGCCGCTGCTGCCTCCGCCGCTGGCACTTATCCTGCCCGCCGCATTGCGGGCACCTCGCTGACGTTCCTCCTGAACTGCTTCGCGCTTCATGCCGCAGGTGAGACACTTCTGATAGCGGCAGTACTGGCAACGATTTCTCTGTCGCTTGTCAATGATGCAGTTGCGGTTCTCGCGGCATGCGTATGTGAGATCCTTGCGAACCGTACGCTTGAAAAAGCCCTTGCAGCCCTCACAGCTGTACACGCCATAGTGCTTGCCACTGGCCCGGTCTCCACAGATAGAGCAGAGGTGTTTGCTGCCGCTCAACGGATGATTCGGCGGATATTGCTGCTGAACCGCAGCAGCAGCTGCTGCAGCTGAATTGGGCGCCTGCGCCATCTGGGCGTCCCCGCCGCTGTTATTGTTGTTGGCGCTGGCGGAGTTCGAACCGGGCAGCACGTGGACCATGGACATGGCCTGCATGAAGGGCACAGGACTCTCGGCCTTGGGCGAGAAGCTACTGTTGTTACTGTCGTTTAGCTGTGAAATGTCCGGCTTGACCTCCTCCTTGATGTGGCTCAGCCGGAAGGTGGCGTCCTGGTCGCAGTTGTCCATTCTGGGGATGTGGAGGTATTGGGTGTAATGGGAATGCTGGAACAGCGCCTCCTCCACCTACTCCTCCGGTTTCTCTTTTCGTTTGTATGTCTTGGCTCGCTTTCGCCTTTTGCTTGGGGTTTCACTTTGCCAACGCCACCGTGTCCGTCCGCTTTTTCGTCCGTGGAGCCAAGTGGAGCAGCTCGCTTTGCTTGCAGTTTCGTTGCTGCTGGGGCCGTTGCTGCATTTACATAATCCCGTTTGAGCCGCGCACTTTTATCGCTCGACACCAAACAATTGCGCTTTTTACTAACAAACAAAGAATGCCAGACTTTCTGACTAATGGATTAAAACCTTTTTTCGCGTCGACATTTTTTCTCAACAAAGACAATCTCACCACGCGGCGAACTCACCAGCGTAGAGATGGCCCGTGACGCAGGTTGTGTCGTGACTAGTTGCGGTCACGACTTTTGGCCAGTGCATGTGCATTGTGATAAGGGAATAAAACAGGGTAATAAAGGGTAAAGTTTCCAAGCGTTATCCTAATCAAGCTTAGTTTATTGACGAATAATAACCAACAATATATATGTAGCTAAAAAATATTCCAATGTTCACGGAATAACAAATTTAAAGTTGGATTAATAAATTTTTGATATATCATTAAAGAAGTGTTGTTAGGAAAAACACTTTTGTTTTGCTAACATTTTTCGAGTTAAGGCAGGCATCCTGCTCATCTCTACCTGACCAAACGGGGGACAGAGTTGTTCTCCCACCCACACAAACTATATTTGTTAAACCTCTGAGGGTCAAAAACTGATCTTGACCCCCCAGAGATTCTCCATGAATTAAAAAACCTTTTATAATTCATTTAAAAATGAATTAATCAAGCTGATAATCATAGTGCATTTCAAGCGACAGCCCTGGCAGCGCCATCGCGAAATTCACCACTCCCACGGAGAATGCAACACTGCGTCTGTCTGGCTCCCCACACCACTAACCCCCACACCCCACACACTGCCGCATTGCAAATAATTTTGCGCCGCTGCAATTATGTGGAAATGCAAAATGGAAACGTGAATGTGCGCCAATTTCACCGCTGCCGGCGGCAACCTCGACCCCAAATTGCGGCCAATCCTAGACGTCGCCGAGAATCGAGCGGTTTAGCAACTGAACCGCGAAACAAAGAATAACCAAACCAAACTAAAACCAAATTAAGCAAAATGCAAATGCAACTTACTTGCAGCCAGTGGCTTTGGATGCGCCGCAAGGTGACGGCTGTTTATTTACTTGTTTACTTGGTTATCAGTTATCAGCACACACAAACTCACACAGGTACGTACACGGATACACCACACGACGCCTTTTTAATTTGTTGCAATCTTTATTGTAATTGTAGTAATCGAGTCCATCATCACAAAGAGACGCGGTAATTGCCATTCGCAACGAGTGGGCACAAGAAGAAGCATTTCGCGAAACATCAGCTGGCTCGTGGTGAAATATTGCCCCATTGTGGGAGTCGAACAACTGGTTTGCCCATGGTGGGTATGGTGAGTGAGGTAAGTTGATTTTGTTTTCCTTGCAGGGTGGTTTACAACTCGGCTACATTTTTAAACTTTGCGCCTAATTCGATGCGAATGGCAAACTGTGCGAGAGGTTAGCCTCTACATTTTAGGGAAATTACCGGTCTTTGGAAATGGTTATTTGTTTAATGCTAAAGTCTCTTCTAAGTCTTTTAACTTAATTTTAAATTTTTTGTGTTAAGTTTCTGTGATGAAGTTGCCAAATTTTGTTTGCTTGTTTACTTAAATTTATTTGTTTAAATCTATAAATACCTTTTCTTTTCTTCTGCTTAGTTTTACTCTCAAATCGTATATTTGACAAATATACAAATATTATGGGACAGGCTCTTTATCGCTTATTTTTTGTTTACATTTTTCCCTCGGCTCTTTTGTTTGCCTCAGCTTTCTTCTTCATATAATTTGAGGTTCGGATTGGATCGATTATACCCTAATGTTCTGATGAAAAGGGCGATAATCAAGTGTTTACAGTTCACTGTTTTCCGTATGTGTATGTGCTTCTTTACTGATCCTCCGAATCCGACTCGTGGGAATCGCGGGAATTGCGGAGAGTGAGTATACCAATCCGTTCGTTAAGATATTCGATCTCATCTTGGTACACGCCCGTCTCATATAATAGATTTTCGTACTCTCTCATAATCCCGGCATAGTCGCTAGTGCTGCTGCTGGTGTTGCTGCTGCCACCACTGCCGTTGTCACTGCTGACAGTGCTGCTGCTGGAACTACTGCCGATATGACCTTGGCCTTGATTATGCCCGCTTCCACTGGCACCATGCACAGATCCGCTTTGTGGCGAATCCTCAAAGTTCAGATAGAGTTGAATATAGGTTGCATTCTGGCAGCGACAGATGGGGCAAGTGCGTGATCTGCAAAGCGGATAGCATTATAGTACATTTCCCGTTTAATCGCCTTTTATTGGTAAAAAGAACTCTCAAGGGTCAAGGGTGGTCAACCGACTACGAAGAGTTTCCCTTACACAAAGAGCCATATTAAATACGTTCTGACTATAAAACGTTGTTTATCAGATCATTTGTGTAGTGAGATATACTCGTGTATTTAAAAATTTCTTTTCATAATCATTTTGTTCACTTTAGTATCGCTTTTAACTTTGAATAATTTATTCATACCATACCACACGAAGGAGATCGATTTATGATTAAGGAACACTTACAACGAACGCCAGCGGTCCAGACACTCCTCGTGGAACGCATGGCCACAGCTACCGGCTTGAATGTGGTCCACAGCGCGATACCGCTCCGAGCAGATCGTGCAGATTACGTTGTTATTGCTCATTCCGTTCCGATTTTTGCTTAATTTTATTTATATCCAATCAGATTCGAGATCCCGGCATGTCTTACTGCTCGGCCGGTGGTGTTGGACTGAATGCAATTCAGTGAAACGAGCGCTTCGCTGATAAGCTTCCAGGCAGTCGCAGTCCAGCCGAATCGGTCGCACTCCACCCCTCGACTTCACTCCCCCTGCATCGGCGCTTTCACAGTGCCAGCCCACCTTTATGTACCGCCCCATAAAAGCGGGAAATATGAGCCGATAAATTAGGTCAGCGATGGCCTACGCCCAGCTTTGATAGAATTTTCTTGGTCCAGCGCTAAATTATATAAAAGCTTCATAGGAAGATTTTACTAACTAAAAAATATATTAAATATCGATAAAAACACTTATATACTATACCATGTTTTAAAAGCTTAGTTTTATATAATATCAATCCAGTTTATAAATCAAGTCAAGTGGCAGAATTTGACGTTCGCAAAATTTCGCTGATTTGAAAAATAATAACAACTAGGGATCGGTGATAAATTACAAGTGTTGTTTATTTATTTAAACATTTATGTTTATATTCATATTCGATTTGCTTCTATCGTCTTTCGAATGGAGTGCTCGCGGTGGATTAACAATAGGTTCATTTACAAAGGCCTACGGTTAAATGGAATGTTTATGTAAAAAATAGGGGAAACAGATTTAAGGAAAGATTTCGGTGTTAAGTAGAAGTATAAACGTACGTACTTATATATTCAGCATATGAAGTAGTTAAAAAAAGGGTTAATACTAAGCGTGAGCGACCATAAATATCTACAATCTAAAACTAATGCTACGTAGTGTAATCGGGCTTCGAAAGGGTGTTTTTGCGAGTACCATCTTGGGGTAAAGTGATATAAACGGGTGGATTAATAATTTGTTTACTTCGAAGAATTATTTGTGTACTTCTAGATTTCTTGGACTTATTGAAGTTCGATCCACGAAAGTGAGTCTATAATCAAATAAACTAAATTGTGTATACATTGGAAAGTCAAGGTCTACAGTATTACTGGTTATAGTTTCTAATTTGGTATCTTTCTTTGCCTTTGTTTGACATACAATAACGTTTGAAGTTAGAAATACAGCAAAGTCTAAATAATTATCTATGGCACAATTTCCAATACATATATATTGGCAACAACTAGGTATTAAATTACAATATCTATAGAAAAAACTGATTATCGTAGTGTTGAATGCGATATTGAACTACAACACCATCTAGAATCTCAGCATTCCGGGTGAAGTTTAAGAATTTACGATATTTGCCACCCATTTACGATATACCGATCTACAATGCCAGGCATATTTGTTTAATAACAAAAGTAGCACGAGGACTACGTGGTTTTTGTTTTTTGGAATTAAAGCATTTCGTTAGTCTTTTGGGAATTTCATCTTGGCCGTCAGCTTGGAGCCGGAAGTGGAAACGGTTGCGGATGTGTTCGCCGAATCGGAGTTACTTTCCGATGGTGCCGCGCTTGTATTACGCTCCGCGTAGGATTGGTTTCTCTTCGGGCTGTCGACATTCATGTAGATGTGCGGAGTCGTTGGGGTCGGCTTTGGTGGACAGCTCGCCGCTGCCACTGCTCCTGCTGAGGTTGCGGCTATAGAGAGCGGATGGGTTTGGAGTGAAGGCGGGGGAGGAGCCGGCGTTGTGGGCGCCGAGGTCGGCGGCGGCGTTGGCGGAAGTTCCTCCTCCTCCAGTATTATGTCGTCGCCCACCATTGTTATGCGCCGAATCGAGGCCGATCCGCTCCCCAGCAAGCCAACTCCGGGCCGGTATATGGAGCTGCTGCTGATCCCGATCCCCAGGCCGCTGCTGGGGTTGGGGCTGCTGCTGTTGAAGCCGCTGTTGGTGTAGGAGTGATTGTTCTTCTTGAGCGGCAGTCGCAGGTTGAGGCTGCTGCTGTTGCTTCCGTTGGGTGTCGCCGTGAGAACTGATGGGGGTGGAGGCGTAACGGTTGGCAGCGGTAGGTTCGACTTGCTGATTAGATCCGGTCCCCGAGAGAGCATCTCCAGAGCTTGGGATTGCTGGCTTTCCGATGGGCTCTGTATCACCGTTCCCGTTCCCGGTACCGTTCCTGTCCCCGTTCCCGTGCCCGTGCCCGTTCCCCCCGACATCTGGGAGACGATTGTGCGGCTGTGGTTGTTGCTCAACCCGGTATCTTTCCATTTCTCTGAAACGAAGAATGACCGTGACTTAGTGCATGAAGTTCAGTGGAAGGCTCCCGTGCTGAAACGTACCTGCAGCGCTGCTAGCGCCATTGGTCTTACCGAAGGGCAGCAAAAGACGAGCGGGCTGGCAGAAGACCACCGTCTTATAGGCCTTGCGATACTGCTTGTTCATAATGACATAGATGATCGGATTTATGCAGGCCGACAGGTAGAGCAGGATGTAGCTGCATATGTGCAGGCTAGGATGCTCCACATTCTTGTCTGCCACTTTGACAATGGTGATGGGTAGGTAACAGACAACGAAGGATAGGAAAATGGCCAACACCATCTTGGTGATGCGCCATTCATTTCGCTTGGCCCGGACTTCGCGTTGATCCTTGACCCTGGTTGGCTGCTGTTTGCCACTGGGCGCTGTCTCCGGCACATCAACAGAGAAGCTGCTGCTGCTGTCCGAGGAGACACGGTTGCTTGGCTGGCATTCTGCGCCCGAGGGCAGAGCTCCGGATCCCGTGCTGGCTAACGGACGAAGATTATTGGGAATCGAATTCTGCTTGGTGGCATGACGCTTCAGGCGCTGCTCTGACTTGTGAACCACCCAGAAGATCTTGGCATAGCAGGCAATGATAACCAGGCAGGGGATGACGAAGGCTGTGATAAACAACGTGGTCTTGCTGCTGTGCCCATGCTCATCTGTCATAATGGAGCAGGTCTGCAGACGAGAATCGTAGCCAAAGCGACCCCATTCTCCAAGAAGCGTAGGCAGCTGCATTCCGTAGGAGAACAGCCAGCAGGCGGCGATCATTATGGCAATCCAGTGCCGCTTATAGATCCTAGCATACAACCCATGGTGGGTGATCATCACATACCGATTGATCGTGATCATGGCAATGCACAGCAAGGACACCCCTATATTTCCGTACTGGATGAAGGGAATCAGGCGACAGAGGACTTGGCCATGTCGCCAGGTTCCTTGAACGAAACGCAGACCCTGAAAAGGCAGAACCAGGGCGCAGAAAAGCAGATCGGCAATACAAAGGCTAGTTCGGAGATAGAGAGGTTAGCTTTTTCTATAAGGAAAGCGAAGGCTAGCTTACCTGATGATAAAGGCGGCGGCCACATTGCGCACCTTGGGACATTTTAGCAAGGCAACTACGGTCAATAGGTTGCCGCAAATGCCAACAACCATTATGAGAAAGGTCATGACCGCGGCAAAGGTCAATAGCGACTGCGAAAATCTGCAACCGAATAAAATGTTCTTTTAACATTAACATTTCTCTAAAATTATGAAAGTTATCAATTTTTGACCTCAAATCGATACCATTTTTGCTATCTCAGTACTTTCCACCCAGTCTAAGATCTCTCGACCTTTGGTGCCTATATGGCCCTGTGGCTATCACCATATCGGACTGGCTTCCGCTGGCTACATCCAAGAATCGCCCGTCTTTGTCAGCCGTCCGGCCTGGCGATCACCACTGGTGCAATGGAGCGCGTAATATTAACGATCTCTTATCGGACCTCTCACAGCCGGGGACTATAATTACCCAGTGGCCGCTGATAGCTACATCTCTCTTGGCACCCACTTGGCACATCGTCAACAAGCCCCCAACCAGAACCAGAGCCCACATCCCAACTTACCCGCTCGGGTCTTCTGGGGGAGACATAGTCGTCAACGCCTCCAGAGGGGGATAGCCATCTAGGCTAATAGTTGTCTCGTCACTCATACTTCTGGAATACAGAGAGAGAGAAATAGTCTTTATTAGAGAGCTCGCTATCCAATTACAGATGGAAGATAGATGGACCTGGGAAAAAGATGCATTCTTAAAGATCATGATTTAGTTCCCATAGGTCATGATCTTTTGAATTGTTTTCCCAATATATGAATCATTTCCTATTCGTGGGGAAAAACTATCTTTATAAAGCGTATAACTTTTTCACGTTGGAACTGAATTGTAAAGATCACAACAGATATTGAGCCCACTAACCTAACCAAGTATATTTCCTTCAATGTTTGAGGTGCACTTTCTTTTAAGTGCGATGAACTTGAACGTTATCAGCTTAAACAAAATCACGACCATCAAGGTTATCAGTCGATTAGCAAATGTTTGGGGATTTTTATGGAATCAGTTCCGCCTTCTCAAGAGCGGAAGACCAGTAAATAATGATGGATTATTCAATTAAAATCGCCATATCTAAAGTTCTTAGGTATTTATTGTTAAAATAAGTCACATAATTTGGATAGGAAGGATGTAGAAGAACTTGACCTAGGATCGGAGGAGGATCTCAAGTTAGCACACTTTTAAAAAGGAAAGTTTATTGAGTTAATATAAATACGTCGAAGATATTGGCACACTAAGAGGGGCGTATTTATGTACTTATGATTCACATTTCTTTAATGGGAAAATCCGTTCACTAGAACAGAGCGTCTGATATGGAAAAGTTCGCGACTTTTCTTTTTATTGATGCTTCTGCTTCCTGACTAACTTGCTCTTTATCCTGTGGTCAATCAAAGTTGCCACTAACCGATCTCCGATCACTGAACACCGATCGCCACCGCTGACAATAGCCAACTGGCCGCTGCCACTTGAATGGCTCAGGCTCTGTTAAAAAAAAAGTCTGGCGCTGACTGCATCTTGCGCCGACGCAACACCCGTAAGCGTAAACCGTGGCCCGTCACCCGGAGTCTGAAACCCGAAGCCCGTAACCCGGCGTGAGGCGTGGCACCCCTTTTGCTTCTTCGGGACTATGGTAAATTAGTGTCAATTAAATAATTTAAAGAGGTCACACTCGTCTCTGTTTCGGTTTAGGTTGCTCGACGGCAGTAGTTTCAGTGGCTGTTACTGCCACTGCGGCTTCTGCACCACTTGGGGTGCAAAGATCAGCGTCGAACCTTAATTAATTGAGTGACTGTTTGGCGGAGACAGGCGTCTCTGGGCGTCCTCTAATGTGCGATGCGATGCGATGAAAAGTGCTCTGTTCTCCGCTCGAGTGGCCGCTAATCGAGACAAGTGTTATTTTCTTGTACCGCTCTCTGCACTGGGCGGAATCGGTGTATAAATAGAGTGCTTTGATAATTGCAAGAGTCGATGTCTTTGACAAATTACGATTGTTCAAAACAACTATTATTATGCATCACGTTTCACTAATATTGACTAATATTCAAAATAAGCATGAAGTATAATGATACTATAGAGAATAATAGTTTAAGACTCAATATGATATCCTTGTTAGAATTCTTAATCTTTCTCTGTGCACTCTGACATGCATTCTTATTTCCTCTCGTTCCATCTTATCCCTGTCCAGGTCATGGCTGCTATTTAGCATGCCCCGACAGGGCGTATACGCAATCTGTCTGGCTGTGTTCTTATACCCGTATGTACGAACTTAGACTATTTCCTTATCTTATCGGTTTTGAGCTCAAAACAGTACTTACCTGGTTGAATTTTGTTTTGTTATTTGGTAATCCTCTGCTGGCGATTCTAGCGATCGGCCTGGCACTCTCCTTGCTCTCTCTCTCTCTCGTTTTCCGCCTCGCTGTGTGTGTCCGTTATCAGTGGTCAGGAGTGGATGTGAGTAGTAGTGGTAGGGAGTGGAGAGTGGGTTTGGCTATTTGCTTTCTGCTCACGTAATCGAAACTAGTGCAGCTGGGATCTGCGCTGCCAAGCTCCCCTCTCGTACTCCAATCTCCAATATTCAGTCTCCAATCTCCACTCTCAAATCCAATTCACTTCAACTCCTCTTCCTCTCGTTCTGCCTCCTCCCTCCTTTTCGCACAGGTTGAGTGAGGTGAGTGAGTAATGCTGTGAGCAATGTAAACAGTTTACGGCATTCGGCATTCGTTGGGGTTATTCATTAATCGTTGTGTTATTGTTGTTGCTGGGAGACGCCACTGAAGCTGCTGCTGCTGCTGTGGTTATTGTTATTGTTACTGCCGTCGGTGATTCAAAAGCTGCCCCGGCTTTCATGACTAATACTTTTGACTTGCGAGATCAGGTAGAGAATAAAAGGGTTACAGGTTGCCTCAGTTTAGCACTCGACATTATCACAACAACAAAAATTAAAAACAAAAAAACAAAAAAAAGGGGGACACACGCTCGTGATTGCTCCAACGGTTTCAAATGTCACTCAAATCGAATTTAAATCGGAGTTACTTTTTTGTTTATTACTCGAATTGCGTGGACAATCCACAGTAGCCGAACGTAACGGACAAATAACGTAGCGTCTGTGTTTTCACTACCGATCGGATCGGATCGGATCGGATTGTCTATAACTGCCGGATCGAGTGCAGTTCGTCGAGTGCGGGCAGAGCAGAGCTGCCTGAGTTGTGAGTCGCGATACTGCTAGTTGACAAATCGGAGCCCCTCTCACTCTCACTCTCGGCCTCTGCCCAACTGTCTCTCTGCTGGTTTACAGAGGCGCAGACGGCCGGTTTTCTAAGGGGTTTTTAAGATCCTATTCAGACTTTTATCCTATACCGACTTTTGACAAACAAAGAAAAATTTGATAAGAAAATTTGATAAGATTATTAGTTAGTATATAGTTCTGACTCCCTTTTACCATACACATGACTTGCCCCCATGACTTGCGCTCTCTGCTGCTCTGTGTCTTGCTCACACTCCCGTACTCTCGCCCGCACTGTGGACGACAATGTGACAGACAGAGACAGAGACACAGACGGCCATCTGTTGATCGAGGGGCGGTTGTGGGAGTAAGAGCGGTTCGAACGCTCAATGATTGTCGATCCGATGCATACGCAGATATGACGCTTCTCCTCCCCCTTCCTGTGCCTCGCAGGAGCAAATATGCAACAGCAGCAGCAACCATAGCAAGAACAACAACGCGTTGCAGCCACAACTGATAAGGCTTCATGTGTCCGCATTCTAATGTTTACACAATTGGACATTCAACATCGATCGAGTCGATCCTACATGCCTACACTGCGAAAAGAATCGCAGAAACTGTCTGCTCAAGTTTTATAATTGTATCAGCTTTTTACTTCGAACAAGATCTAATTAATTACTATTACTTAAGTATTATAATTTAATTTAATGGCTCATCTTCGAGTATCGGTTAGAATTCGATTTGGATTAGGATTTTTCGCCGTGCAGATATCGAACTGAAGACGTAGCGATTTGTGTGCACTCGCTTTGTTTGTTGTTTGCTGCGGATTGTGTGAAGAACATGATAGTTTATGGTTTATGGCTATCTAAACATAGGCCCATGTGCGTGCGTGTGCGTATAAGTATGCCGGAGAAGTTTACATTACTCGGGATCTGAATCAGAAACAGGGCGAGAGGGGTTAGACTTCGATTGGCATTCGATTCGTACTCACAATCTCACAACCAAAGTCGGGGAAGCTCAAGTTTTCACTTTGGTGCCCATTCCCTAAGCAGTTCCAGGTACAGTTGGGGACGGAAATTTAGAAGTGTTAATGGATTTCTTTAGAAAATAATTGTAGTGAAATTAATTTTGTATATGAGTATGTAAATGTATAAGATTTAGTTTATGTTATTGAGATTAAGATAGCTTACTCACTGGTTCACTTCTACAAAGTACTAAGCTTTGATTGATTGTGTTTTTTTATAGACTTCTCTTTCTATAAACTTATCCAATTCTTAGGATTGTAAACTCAAACATAAGTTGTAATTGCGGTATGGCGCTATAATATTCCCTGAAACTGTATGTATATATGTACATATATATTTTTGTGTAGTCGACTGCAATTCCCGGACTACTAGCCTGTATGAAAACAAACAACGATTTCGTATTCGTGCCGTTGCCAAAGAGTTTTCCCCGAACCGATTGTTTTTCCTTTTCAAAAGGCAAACGATACTCAATTTGCCGCAACAGACGACCCGCACTCTGACCCTCAGAAAGAAATAAAGAGAGAACCAGAAAAAGTACTTGATTAATTAAGACTACGTTCGATCTAAACTCTGACGTCGTGTGACCCCAGTTGGCCGGGGTTGACTCATTTTCCTTAACGGGTGATTGAAGCGAAAAGAGCGTCGAGCATTCTGTAATGATTCAGGGTCCATGGCCCATGAGTGTGCTTTTATTTTACGCATAGATTCGATCTATATACATATTTTCAAATCGACTGAGTCTCGCATAAATTGTGCGTTTTTTTTTAGTCGCTAGTTCCTCGATCCGAATGTATGCTGCCCATTTATTATCCAGAAAATTGCCAGAGGAAACTATGCACCCACACACACGCACCTCCCAAGAACCGAAAGATTTTCAATTTCGAGAATGCCCAGAGAGGTGCGTACGCTTCGAATTCAGGGCTGCGAGTACCAAGAGGTTTTCACCCCAAATTAATCAGCATTCTTCTCATAGAAAATCCAATAATAGTCGGAATAAGGAACGTCATACATCACTTGATTCGTAATTAAAAATCCAGTCGAACTGTATTCACGCCTTAAAAACTCAATATTTCGCCATTTCTCGCAAATTTTAATGATGTTACCCCTTACAAAAAATTCAAAATTTTGTCAAAAATTAATATTTCAAAAATCAACAAACCAATGATGAGGAAAGTTAGTTTTGGTCGTTAGCTTCTCAAAACATTCATTCTTCTAGCTGTACGTCTTGTTTTGGGTAAGTTGCAGGTATAAAACTGATTAAAAATATTACCAAAAAAAAAAGATGAGGAGAGTTAGGTTCAGTTAGTAGTACGAAAATTTTCCTCGATTACCATTTAGAATGGATAAAACTGGTGCAAAATGAGCAAACTTTTTAAAGTCTTGTTTTCCAATTAGTCTTATTAGAAAATGAAAAGATTCTAGACAGTGGTAGCCCTGGATTTAGTATTTGGAAATTCCAAAAAAACAGCAACAAGAGCAACATGACCCCATCAGAGTATCGACGAAAGAGCGGAGTGCGGAAGGGAGGGGTGGACCGGGGGAGGCGGCGAAAGAAACAACACCGAATAGGAACAATGTAAACAAAGCGCCCATTCCACAGGCAAATTACCAAATTACCCGATGATGAAGTCAATTGTTGTATACAATAAAAATGTGTGTGTTGTTGCTGCTGCTGCCGCTCTGATATTCTTTTGTTTTCCTTTTTTCGAAAGTTTTTCTAGTTCGCCTGCTGTTTTTTTCTCAATATTTTGTACGCTTGGCTGGCGGCGGCTGCCTTCGGGCTCACTTTTTGGGTGGAAACAATGTGGATGTGTGAATGCGGAGAATTCAGTTTTAGTACAAATTCGGCGCAGGAACGAGCAACGCGCCCTCTTGCCAACCACAAAGTACCACGAGATGTTCCTACCCGGCCCAAGTCCACTTCCAATTGCGTTCAGTAAGGAAGATCAGGTGCCGGGAGTTGCCCTGACGGAGAGTCTGGACCTGGACACGGACTCCGACCTAAGTCTGAATCTGGATGGGGAAAGACCGGTGCTGTTCGAGGGCTACTCGGATGAGCTGCTGACCATCGCCTGGGTAGCTTGCATTGTGTTCATCATCGTGGGTGTGCCCGGCAATCTGCTGACCATCGTGGCCCTGTCTAGAGGCCGCCAGACGCGCAACTCTACGGCCATATTCATCATCAATTTATCCTGCTCGGATCTACTCTTCGGCTGCTTTAATCTTCCCCTGGCCGCATCCACCTTCATGAAGCGTGCCTGGACCCATGGTGATCTATTGTGCAGGCTGTTCCCGATGCTACGGTACGGCCTGCTGGCTGTATCACTGCTCTCCGTCTCGCTGATAACCATTAACCGGTACATCATCATCGCCCATCCCAGGCAGTATCCAAGGTTAGAGTCCTTTTTGTTCATTCTTATCTTCAGTCTTGCAAGTCTATACTTTTTCAACTTGATTCCTTATAATATACTAACCTCCCACCTAATCTAATAGAAACCCACGCACTTCCTAATATTTTTCTCAATTTAGGCAACCTTGGTTTTGGTGTTTATAAAAACGCGAAAATGGGTTTTGTTTTTGGTGTTTGTCTTTTTAATGAACTTAAAAAATACATAGTTATATAGATTATTTTCATTTGTAATCGTATTCCCGTACTCTTGTCCGCAGGATCTACCAGCGACGATACTTGGCTCTAATGGTGGCCGGCACTTGGGTTACAACATTTTCCATTATGATACCCACCTGGCGGGGTGTGTGGGGTATCTTTGGTCTGGATACCGATATTGGATCTTGCTCCATTTTGCACGATCGGTATGGCAGGTCGCCCAAGGAGTTCCTCTTCATCGCCGCCTTCATGGTGCCGTGCATCTGCATTGTTATCTGTTATGCCAGAATCTTCCTGCTAGTGCGGAAGGCAGCTATTCGAGCGGGAACAGCTGGCAAGAGCAATGTCAGTGATGTGACCCCCACGTCCACAACCCAGTACCAGGCACAAGCCATGCCCATGCAAAAGAGACCGGAGAAGGCGAGCACGTCCAGCGGCGAGCCACAGGAACCAATACCAGGACGACCATTTGTGGTCGAGGAGGAGCTTGCGTACATCGATGACAATGCTTCGGCGGACAGTCTACCCATCTCTTATAGCATCAGGAGAAGAGATGAGGATCAGCAGAAGCGACCAGTGGATGCCAACGTGGTGCTCAAGGAACGGGAGAAGGAAAAGGAACGGGATCAGGAGAAGATCACCCTGGGACGCCGTCAAACACAATTGGAGATGGGCAAGACCGTTGGGTAAGTGGTTTTAAGTAATCTCTGCAAGATGTCTCCCAACCTCTGTGTTTTTTCTTTTCCAGAAAGAACCCCATCACCACTTCTTTGCGCACCTCGTTCACCCGCTTCAGTCCACGGAAATCACACTATACCTCCATGGGCAATACCTCGAATGCTTCCTCCATTTACCCGGGAAGGATGAGTGCCAAGGACCGAAGGTTGCTTAAGATGATATTGGTGATATTCGTATGGTTTGTTATCTGCTACCTGCCCATAACAGTGGCCAAAATATGGAAGAGCGCCACCGAGATGCACTTATTTAACATCGCCGGCTACCTGCTCATCTACTTGACCACCTGCATCAATCCGCTGATCTACGTGCTAATGAGCTCGGAATACCGAAGGGCCTACTGGAACCTTTTGCGCTGTCATGGATCTCCTGACCCCCACAAGCAGCGGAATCAGGGCCACGCCAATGCCAAGTGGAAGCAAATGGAGTCCAATCGTCAGGTGAAGGCCACAACGTGACTTAGCCAGGTGCGAGGGATCCACCCACCTTAACATCTACGTCATTGCCTTCATCGTCCTCCGTCCCAGCAGGATAAGATATGTGTGCCATTCTATATGATGGGATAAGTCATTATGTTTGGTCTGCGGTAAGAAACGATCCACATATGTATTATCGATCAGTAGATATACCCCCTGATCCCTTGGTGATTTTTTTGTATCTCCAAACACGATATCTAGTCACACGATCTGTCCAGATCGTCCCTTCCACGCACACACGAAAACACAGATCACCCATCTATATCTATATAATGTAGGAACTCCAGAAGTGTATTGCATTTTATACCAAATGACTTTAATATCTGGTTTACATTTGAATTCCATGTTTAAGAACAATCGATGTTTGTTTTTGTTTGAGTTTTGTTTTTCTTTTCTTTTTTTTTTGCTTGTCGCTAATTATTGTACCAATACATAATAGATATATCCGTATATGGATATACCCTATCTATGCCCCCAATAAATGCTTCGAATAATTGATATATGTAGTTACGTTGTTCTCATCCACCCAACTCCGAACTTACGGGGGGCCAATACAATAGTGTATAGTGTTATCATAAGTAGAGCTATAGCTTAACGCTATTATTATCAATATACATATTGTATATGTCTGCGTGTATGCGTACGAAACTTGGACTACTTAAGGCTAGTAACACAACTAAATCTTCCAATATTACGGCATCGCTCGGTTCGGTATTGATTTCCTATGATTTCTCCAATAAATATATTTCCTGCTGACATCGATGTAAATCCGACTCTGACTCCGACTACGACTCCGATTTAGATTCCGCATACGAACGTGTATATGCTATGTATATGTATGGGTGTATATTGTATATGGATCAAATAATTCATAATTGCGATTGCGAGCTTAATAAAAAGGTGGATCCTGACCGGACCCATTAGTTCGATGCCTTTTCAGGAGAGCATCAACCCGCCTCAGACTGACTCCAGGTGCTCCGATATCTCCAGTATGGGGCTCTCGCTAAGCGGCTTCACCAACGACTGCCAGTTTGGTGTAAATAAGCTGAGCACAGGTGTCGATGTCTGGGGGAGTCGGGGAAAGCAAAGAAAAGGAAGAATAAGACAAGGAAACTTTTGCTTATATAGATCTAAGAAACTAAGGATGCTTACATGATAATCCGACTCCAGACTGTGACCGTGCGGGGTGGCCGGCTTACACTTGACCGTCGGCGTGCCCGGCGCTGTGGACGGTGGCACTGATACCCCAGCCCCAGACCCTCCTGCGACGGAACCACCTCCATTTGGCACCGGACCCGAAACCTGATCCGATTGACTGATGTAGGAAGTTTTGAGGTTCATCTGACTGAAGGCATGCGCCCCGGGCATGGTCATGGAGTGCTGCAGTCTGGGAGTTCCGCTCCTGGGTCGATCAAGCAGGGCCAACTCATAGAGCTCGTCGGCCAAGTGATGTTCCGGAGCCGGTGGGGGTGGATTACCCAGGCTGTGACCAAAGTGGTGATGGTGGTGCTGCTGATGGTGGCTGTGCTGAGCCTGCGAGTGGTGCTGCTGCTGATGATGGTGATGTCGACCGGCCAACTGTGCCTCCAAAGCGTACTGCTTCTGGAACAACTGACGCTTCTGCTGTAGCAGGCGGTGCTGCAGTAGTTGCTGCTGGAGCGGTGGCTTTTGCATTGGAGACATGGGCATGGCCACACCGACACCCACTCCCACACCCAAAGGATGGTGTGGGTAAAGTCCTGGTGGTGGCGGTGGCGGAGCATAGCATCCATGGCCATACATGTCTCCACCTGCAGCGGTTTCCAACAGCAGCGGCGTGGCTTGATGGCCGGAATGGAACATTGGATGGTGACCATGGTGATGCTGTACAGGGTGCCCATGATGGTGTGGTAACGTCAGCAGCGGATGGTGCTTACCGGCGACAGCGTAGAATTGACCATTTGGAAATTGACAGAGTTCCTCCAAGCCGTAGGCCTGGGGATGTGGATGTGTATGAGTATGCTGATGCTGATGGGCATTTGGGTGTGGATGCACCACAGTCGCCTCTTGCTGCAGCTGCTGGATTTCCAACCAACCGTGCCGCTTGGCCTGCTCGTAGCGGTAACTTCCGTAAACACGACTTGTACCGAGCAAGGAGCCGGAACTCAGCAGACCCTGGGCCACCAGTCCATCGCTCGCCCGCCTCCCCTCGCGGAAGTGTATGGGTGATCGCTTATCGAGGAACGGAACCCCACTCCCATTTGGTGGTGGTGTGGGATTTGGCGTGGGTGTGGAGGCCGAACTTTGCGGGAGTCCCAAGCCCAAGGCTAGAGCACCTGGCATATGGATGCAGGAGTTGTGGCTACCATATAGCGATCTTTCCGATGAATGTTCTGACGAGATGGCAGCCGGCGAAGCCGAGGCCGGGGTGGGCGTGGCCAGCAACGAACTGGAGCCCATGCACGACGGTAAACTGCCCTTGCCGGACGGCAAGGCGAAGTCTAAACTATCGTAAGGACCACTGCAGTTGCTCTTGGAGGAGCCACGACTCAAGTTTTGGCTCAGACTTTTGGAGTAGCTACCAGCACTTCCGGCAAGAACTCCACTGGAGGAGCTGCTGCTGGCATACGAGCGCATTCTGTGGCTTTGCCCGGAGGCGGCGGTTCCGGCGAGGTGGGTCAGATCGCTGCTAGAGTGTGAGGTGGGTCCGCCATTGGCGTTTCCGCTACCGCCGCCATTGCTGCCCTTTGACTCTTGGGATCCAGGATCGTTACCCTGGTCCGTCTCGCAACCCTCGTCGGTGCTGGAGCTGCCCTGTGCCAGCACCTTTTTCTCCGAGCGGCTGTGGAACATAAACAACTTTTTATTTGGAAGAACAATTTTGACTTAAAGGACTAACCTTTCGCCGTTTGATTTCGGCTCACTTATTTCTTGGCCGGACTCTCCCCCGCTGCCATTAGTGCTGCCTACGTGCACACGATGCTTGGCCCGTTGCTGAAAAGAATTAGGAGTTAGATAAGTTTACACTGTTTATTCTTAGCTACCACTCACCTCCACGGGCAATGGGCTCTCCTGAAGCGTCTGGAAAAGCTTGCTGGCCTCGGCAGACATCTTATAGCGAAAGCTCTGGCCCAGATTGGCTTTGGAGTCGAAGCTGCTCGAGCTGGACATGGCCTTTATTGTCTTGCTGTTAATCTCTCCAGGGCAAGAGCCCGATCCTGGGACCGGCGCCGCTGCATTCGATGTCGGTGTGGTTGAGGCAGGCGAAGGTGCTGCTCCTGCGCCAGTTTCCACCTTTAATGGGTCCTCTTTGCCATCCGCCACTGCTGTGGACTGCAATTAAGATGATGTTAAGATTCAGATTGGAATTATTTATTAGCTCCTCTCGGCCGAAACTCACCTGCTGCAGTAGGGCCCTGCAGTCTTCGGTGCTCTGTTTGATGATGTACTCGGTAATGGTTTGATGAAGCTGCTTAGACACTAGAGGCACTCCTACTCCTCCTACTGGTCCGCCTCCAGCTTCCATTTCCCGGCAGCGCAGGTTAGCCAAGGATGGATTGTTGTCGATGCTTAGCGAAATGGCCACTGGACGATGGCTTCTCGGCGAATTGGAAGTCAGGCTGTGTCGCCCGACTCTCGAGGAGGTTGATGAGCAGTTAGAAGGAGCGGGCGAGGCAGCCGTCGGTAGGGGAGTGTACCTCATGGGCAGGGGGATTCCGGCGGCATCCACCTCGGCTCCTCCTCCATTTAGGTACCCAGCCATGTGAGCGTGGCTAGGCAGAGCAAGTGGCAGTTGCTGGGGGCCGTACTTGGCATAGTATCCGGGACCGGGATCCGGGACTGTGGGTGTGGCACCGGCATGGGCTGTTCGCTCAGTCATGAGCACCGTCTGATGACGGCTAAGTCTTTTGTGGGCCTGATCCTTGGCCAGGATCGAGCTGGTGGATATTGTCTTAGACTGCTGCTGTGGCGGCTGCTGGTCGATCTTTGTGCTCTTGTAGAGCATCCGGCTGGCGGCAGCAGAGCCGTTACTCTGTTCCTTTTTGTGGCTAACGCGATCCTGCAGAAGCAAATAGATGGCTGCCACATGGTCGTAGGTGTTCTTCTTGAGACTGGCACGCGTCTTGTCTGGTCCAATGCCCACGTACTCGGCCATAATACGCAGGATGTCTTCGCTGGGCTCCAAACCAGACTGTCGCTCGGCACCCAGATTGTACTTGGCTATCAGGACGTGTTCCAGCAGTTCTGGGCACATCCAGCGATGGCGTTTTATTTGATCGATGCTATATCGCCTTGTCGGTTCCAGCACCAACATCCGGCGGATGAGATGTTCGCACTCGGAGCTCATAAAGAACGGGATGCGAAAGCGTCCGGATAACACTCGATCCCGCAGGCTTTGCAGCGTGGATCCATCAAAGGGCAGTGCCCCACAAACCAGTACATAGAGAACGACACCCAGCGACTGCAAGAAAGGAGAGGTTACATATGGAACTAACTTAACTTGTAAGCACTTACCCAAATATCAATCTCTGGACCCGTATACTGCTTGCCCTCGAAAACCTCGGGAGCTGCGTATGGTGGGGATCCGCACCATGTGGCCAGTAGTTCACCTGGCTTGAAGTGATTGGAGAAGCCGAAGTCCGCTATTTTGATGTTCATGTTGAGATCCAGAAGAAGATTCTCCGCTTTCAAATCGCGATGCACGATGCCCTTTTTGTGACAGTACTCCACCGCCGAGATGATCTGCCAGAATTTGTAGCGAGCTGCCGACTCGGACATCCGTCCGTACTTCGCAATGTAATCTAGAAGAATTTGACAAGTTAATCCTACAGAATACGTATATAGGGAGGGCTATAATATATCTAACCGGAAGACATTATATATCTTACAGATCTTTTAAACTTATTTTCCATTTCTTTAAAATATACACAAGGAATGGAGAGAGCTTATTAAAGAACAATTAAGGCTTTTACCCACCAAAGATCTCGCCCTGGCTGGCATACTCGGATACTATGTAGATCATATTCTTGGTCTCCATAACCTGTGAAATAATTGATAACAAGATTACAACTCCGGTAAGGATTGAGCCATAAATAAGACTACCTGGTAGAGCTTAATGATGTGCGGGTGTTTCAGGCGCTTCATGATCTCCACCTCGCGATAGACTTTCTGGAGGTTAGTCTGGTCCAGCTGCGACTTGTCGATAATCTTAATAGCCACCTCGTTCTTGGTGATTCGATGTCTAGCCAACTTGACCACAGCAAAGTTGCCCTTGCCAATAGTCCGTTCGATGTCGTAGAAGCCCACGCGCATAGGCTCCTTGAGTTTCATCAGATCCTTGCCGCTCACCCCACCTGCTCCCACCACCGTGGATGTAGGACTGGGTCCGGGTGTGGAGCTTCCTCCGCTAGCAAAGAGCTTCTGGGCGAGCAGTGCATCTTTGCAGGCCACCAATGCGTCTATCGAGGGAGCGGCAGCACCGGCATCCAGGAGAACAGAACTCCGAATGCCTTCCAACTGGGGGTGTTGATTTGGTTTTTCCGGAGCCTCCGTTTCGGCTTTCCCATTCTGTGGAGTTTTATCCTGAAGCTTATCCAGCTGCTTCTCTTGCTTATCCTGCTGCTGTTTTTTCTGATCCTCCGGCGGCTGGCTCTCCTCAGACTTGGCCTGGCTTCCATCCTCACCAGCGGCCGCCGCCTCGCACGTGCTCATTTTCCAACTGCGCCACCCTGGGAGGGGAAACTCACACGGTAAGCGAGTGCCAGTTAGAGTCGAAGATCGCGATCGACAGTGAGACGATGATGCACATGCTCACACGGAACACATTCGTCTCCTGCCCCATTACAGCTCTCCTACACGGGCAGAAAACATATAGTTATTAGTATAATGTTCTGATTTCCAACCACATAGTTTTGAGCCATGCTACTAGAATTTGTACAAGGTTGGCTTGTTTTCTAATCTCAAAAATGCCGAGCGTTATTCTGGAAAACCAATAAGAAGTTAAGAATATTAAAAACAACCTTTGTCGTAGACCAAATTCATGGCAAATGGGGTATTTTTGTTCTATGTAAGTGCAATAGAGAAAGGGTTAGTCTTGAGAGGAGGGATGGGATAGTTGTCGCTTGATAAGAGATTAGCTCAGCTATCTGAGTGTGTATGTGTATGGCTTTCGGACTTTACAAGTCAGCAAAGCCACACTCTCTTTTCTTCTCTGACAGTGTTGTCACAATATTACGGAAAAAATTAAGAACATATGAGCTTTACCGCGCCAGATTCGAAAGCTAATTAAAATAAAAGCACTTGTTTTTTAATCGCTCAATTAATAATCCGGGTTTTTAAAAGGTTCTGCCCTAAAACATACACTCTATCATTGGGATATAAAACCTTATTACAAAGAAGATTTAAAACCACTACCTTATGTGCCCAAAAGCATGCTTTATAATTTTTAACGCGTACCGACAAAAAGAACTCAACAAAAATGGCTGATTTTGTTTACTTCCGTTCTCAAAATGGCTATTTTCCAGCTGTAAAATGGCCGAAATGGCAACACTGCCTAAGTATTTGTGGGCGCTAGTGTGTGGGTGCCAGTGTGCTGGTATGTGTGTGCGTGAGTGTTGGTGAAAAATCAATAAGCAGAGCAGCGGCATTGCATCGCATCGTGGAAATGCGGAAATCCCTAGCCTTAACAGTGTCCACTGCAGAATGCAGAAAAGCCGGAGAACCACCAGTACCAATACTAGCACCAGGAGGCGCTCATCAAGACCGATTTCCCAAATTACCGTTAGTGGTGTAAGCGTAGAAAGCACAAGAATCGCCGGTTAACAAAGAAAATTCGGGCAGGAGCAGAGCCTCCAACTGGAGCTCCTGAATTTGGGTAATGGTAATGAGGCGATGAGCGCTGAAGATCCTCTTTACATCCCGTTCACGGGACGCCACAGATGCGGCACGGCACGGCACACACAGACAATGTTGCTGCGACACACACGGAGGATGGCTGGGAAACGTGGCTGCCTCCAATCCCGAGCTGCGTCCAACTGGCGTCCGCATTTGACGCAAGCTCGGCGCTCGTGTGCCCCACTCCGCCAACTCGCCCCTCGTTTTCCGACCCCCATCAGCGAGGGTTGCCAAGTGAGCGCCAAGTGCCAAATGCCGATTGCCCAGCACAGAGCACTGAGCATGCGCCGACTTTTCGTGGGGGTGGAAATTAGACGGAATTTCCATCTAGCAAGCAACATTTGAATGCCCCGCCACTTCTTGGTAAAACGATAATTAGATAGTTTTCCAATATAACTGGTTATTATATCTGAAGTCTTGAAATCTGTGAGAAAATTTAAAAACGTTAGGAAATCAATAATGTTCTTTAGATTGAAACTTACAATACTCAACTGATAAAGTCTCCAAAAAAATTAAAAAATTAAGAAACCGATTGATTCGTGATTCGATGACCATACGTATATTTCTTATATTCATATTCACGTTAGGTGTTACAATATATATTTTGTACAGTGGAACATCTGCCAACGGCTTCTGTTCGGTTTTCTCTCTTTCTCTGAAATGTGCCATCTCGCTCGTTTCCAAGAGTATGGAAAAATCGACGGGATCTGGGATCCGGTGTTTTACTTAACGCACTTACCAAATGAAGACAGTTAGTATATACACGGACACCGATGCAACCTATGTACATGGAACAGATTTCACAAAAACACGTTAAAATCACTCTTAGTTTATGGTTTTCTTCCACCCCAGCACTGCACCTGGATCACGTCGCCAAGAGTTAAACTCCAGATGGCGATAATTTCGTATTTGCTGGGGGTTGGTCTTGTTTTGATTAATGTATTTCATTTCTGTGGCTGAATCTGCCCGGGATTCTGCTGGAGCTGTTCTTGCTCCTCCTCCCCGTAGCAGCGCCGCTTGAAATCACCGAAGAGATCGGGACGTGGCTGAAGTCCCTGCTGAAGATGATCCACGCTGACAGCCTGTGTGGTGTTTCTAGAAGAGGAAATAATGTTAATCTTACTGAGATAATTATCCCATGGATTCTCACCTGGTTTTGGTAAGCACTGTGCAGCCGTCCTCCACCACCATGGTCAGTGAGTAGAGCGTTGCCAAATTGCACATGCTATCGGGCTCATATAGCTCTATATCAGACAGTCGTATCTGTGTTTGCTGTGGATCCTGCACAAATCGAGTGATGCGCTCATTGACGCTCATTTTAATGCTAAATCCCGGTCGCTCTCCATTAACACGGCGACAGCCAGCACGTATCTCGCGCACCTCCTGACCTAGAGCCTGTCCTAGCGGTGAAGAGGAAAGAAACGGATTCGAAGTTTCGCCGGACATTTCGCTTTCGATTTGCCGTGAAGCCGGCAAGGTGCCATCTGCATTCGTTTCCATCTCCAAGCAGGCGTTCAAAATCTCGATGGGTTCAGAGACCCCGGCTGGTTGGAACCGGGATAGATCCTGCAAAGATTCCTGTAGCTGGGCTGGAGACTTCGGCGGAGGCTCCATTCCTACCATTCCGGCCTCTGTTCCGGACATCAGGGTGTCATCTTCACCAATAGTGTCATCCGAGCGAATCTGCGGTAGTAATGACTTCTTAGTAAGCTTCCTTTTCGGATCATATCTGGCTCCAGGTCCGAATTCGTTGCCAGGCCAGTCGGTGAGTTCGTCGTCTCCTTCGCGATCGGTGTCGTGTCGGCGATGTCCACCCACTTCCGCTTCGCTGTCCGAGGATGAACTCAGTGAACTGGAGCTTAGAAAGTCGTAGAGTTCGCTGCAGTCCATCGACTGGGCTTGAAGCTGTAGTGGAGGCTGTGGAAGCGTTTGGAAGCGACGACGGCGGTGTGTCTTAGATGAGCTGCTGCTGGTGTGACCAGGTAACTGTGTCTTTTTGCGAAGCAGCGGAGCCGCTGGTGGCGTGCTCAGTAATAAGGCATCTATATCTGTCACAGGCACTATTGTGTCCATGCTGAAGGAGTTTAAGTTGGAAGTAGTTTCAGTACTTGGCGGGAGCAGCTTTTTGGTCACGTCCTTTTGATCGGGAAGCTCCTCCATCTCATGGACCGCTCCGCCTGACTCCTTTGGTTGGTGACCTTTAAAGTCGTTATCCTTGTTCTCAGTCTTTTGGGTGGGCGTGACCTGTCCCTTGGCAGCCATGCGGTTGATCTTCGAGAGCAGTCCCTTGTTCAGCGGCAGCAGGCGGTCGCTGAGTGGCTTCGATGTGGAGGAGTAGCTGCGCGGTCGCATCCTCTGCTGATGGTGGTGTTGCTGTTGATGCTGCTCATCCATTTGTAAATGTGGCGAGGCGTAGAGCTTCATCGAATCTTGTTCATGGTAGCGATCGCGGTTAGAGCGCTTGCGTTTTCCACAGAAAAACAAGTGCGACCGATGTCCAGTGGGGTCAATTTTCAGCAACCGCTTGCGTATGGTTCCGGTGGCAGTGCCGCTACCACTTAGTAGACCGGGCTGCAATGGAGACTCAGTGAAGGTATGTGGTGTGTCTTTGCTGAACTCGAACTCCATGGACATGCGCTTTATCTTACGTTTCCTACGTGAGTTAGGCTTGTAGAATCTGTGGGTTGGCCAAAAACTTTAAGGAAGGTCTATCGGAAGGACTCTAATTCAATTCACCTGGCTGGACTGAAGGTAGTCTCGTTGAGTGAGTCCGACTCCAAGGCACCCATGCGTCCGGGCAAAGCCAGTGGGAGACGCAGAGGCAGCGTCGCCTCTGCCTTCTCGTCCGAGTCGCTGGCCGGCAACTTAAGATTTTGCGTGTCCAATCCGTCCACGTTAGCACTTGGGTGGTGGTGGCCATGATGTCCGTGGTGATGCCCCTGGTTTAGCGCATCCGTAGGGCTGCTTGAAGAGTCCTCCGTTGGCTGGGGTGCGCAGGCTAAGCAGAAGGGATTACCGCGAGCGAAGTCAGCGAGCTATTGCTACTTACGTAGATTGCCCGTGGAACGTGTCCTACGACGGGAGCCCCACCTACCGACGCCACTCGCCCTGTCCATCAGCGTCAGGTCTAGAGCCAACGTCAGGTCGTGCGAGAATTGATCCATTCTATCCGCTGTCCGCTGTCCACCGCGCTTCTCTATTCAGCCTAAGCACGTCGCATTTATTCGCTTAGCGTTTCGCAAGTGCACAAAACAAACAAAAATACAAAATGCACAAAAAATCCTATTAATATATTATATTAAACAAAAAAAAACAAATGCCGCCAATCGATATCAGGATACGTTTGAGTATCGGAAATCAGCTGTACGCCTGCGGATGTGGTACAACCGATAGTTATGTTATCAATTTAGGAATAGAGAAAATACTTTAAAATACTAAACAGTAAAAATAAATACATATGGTAAAGCGGTTGCTTAGTTGATTTGTCAATATTTTAAAAAGTTTGACTACGAGAAGTTCTCTCGTTGGATTACAAAAAAAAACTACGGCTTAAAAAATACTTTTATCGATTGCTAATGGCGCATTAATCAACTTTTTACCGCAAGATCGATTTTAAAAATTATTGTCTGCTTAATGATAAATAAAAAATGTTAAAAAGTAATATACATATTTTAATGGCAATGGTTAAAAACTCTCGACGAACAAATTGAGGGCGTCTATTGTGCCATCCGCCTTGCGGATAGAACGAGCCCCGTGGGACACCTGCGCCAGACAGTCAACACAGTTCCACAAGAAGCGGAGGCAATGCCAGAGGCGCATCAGGATAGTGGGCACATGGTTCTCCTGCGCTAGTCGCAGCCTCTGCACCTCGTGGCAAAGATACCGTCGTCGTTGGATGCGTCGCAGCTTCAGCTCCAGGATGCGCCTGAAAAACAAGATGCGGGAGATTCGGTTATCGGCCGACTTCTATATGCACAATACCTTCGCAGCTGAGTGCAGGCCTTCTCAAAGTCGTTAATTCGCATTCTGGTCACGATCAGCTCCCGACTGAGGTCAAAGGCCCGGGAGCAGAGCATAACACCCCTAGACTCGAAAATATCAGATTTGTCCAGCGCCTAAGATACAGTTGCTATTACTACAAGCAATATCTAGGAGAAATCCCATTTACCAGATCTTTCAGCCTACGGTTGCGCTCCTCCAGTACCTGGATGCGCTCCAAGGCGGCCGCCAATCTATGAGACATTCTGGTTGAGGCTGTCATTTGATCGAAAAGCTCCGTACTGTTCAGCGAGGACATACCGGCTGTGCACTGGCCCAGTGTTTCGTTTAACTCTCCGGTCACCACTAATTCGAGTCCTTTTCGATCCTCAGGCTACAGTTGTCCGCCGGAAAAAGGGTAAGTTAGTACATCCCCCATGATTGCCACGTAAAACCGTACCATTAGTTGGTTCCTTCCCATCTTCGTGATGAACAACCTCAACCCCGCATTTAGCAGGGATCGCTGGGGAGTCCGACCTGAAGCAGGCATCGGATATCTAATGTTCTTAATTTGGAATTTCGATTATCAACGCGAATAAGTCAAGTTATGTTGAGTAAAAAAAAGAGGGAAGTTGGACTTAGGAGAGTTTATATGACTAAAGCAAACAGAGTCTGTAAATGAACAGGGTAAGTAAGGCGGATCATTGCCCTTAGCTTATGCGCTATGATAGCAAACTCTATACACTCTATGCTTGGAAAGTAGAACATTTGACTATTAACTTTTACAAAACCACGATGCATTTTAAATGAAAAACCAAAAACAATTACGACATTGTTAAAACATTTTATTTAGCAAAAATAATCCAAATGACTCAAAAAAATACATTGTGTGGCAAGGAAATAAAAAGCGTACATCTTTGATCTCAGGGTGCCAAAAGTGGCAATCGTGGCAGGAACTCAAGGAAGTTCCCCCAAACTACAATTATAAATATACACAGATAAAGTTTCACTTCTTAAGTGTTTTGCATACGAGTATACCATATAATAAATACTCAACGATTGCATGAAAATTTAACAAATCTCAGCGGTAATACACAATAGTTGATTATTCAGCGAACTTGGGGCAGAGGCTCACCAAGCTTCTTTGTCCAGTCCTCACGGGTGGCGGGGTCTTCGATCTGGCCACGTCCGAGGCACTTGCCCTGCGAGATAAGCTCGGCAAACTGGGCCACAATCGGATCCCGACCGCATGAAGCCACTGCTGTCACCGTATCCGCTTCGTTGATAAAGTAGGCAACGAACTTAAAGTCTTCCATGCTGCCGTCGATGATAACATCCTTGTAGGACCCATGGCCGGCATACCGAATGCCCTTGCCGAAGATCAGAGTGAAGAAGAAGGGCACGGCTTCCAGCTTCTTGACGCCGCCACACATGTTGATGGCCGCCACTCGTCCGTGATATTGAGCCAACTGATAATGACCAATGTTCACGCGATCGTGGGCTAGCCCGTGGATGTGTGCGTTGGCTATGTCTCCGCCAACATAAACATCGGGTACGTTGGACTCCAGGAAATCGGTGACGTCTACGGAGCCATTGCGATTGACCTTCACGCCCGACTTGGCCAAGAACTGGGTGTTGAGTTTGGAGCCAGTACCCAAGATAAGTAGATCGCAGGGCAGACGTGTGCCATCTACTAGCACTACCTGGGTTACCTTGCCCTCTTCATTACCTACGATTTCTGTGATGCCGCTCTCCATGCGCATGACTACGTTGTTGTCATTAAACAGCTGGAGTACCCTCTGACCAATTTCTGCACCGAAAGCGGCCTTCAGTGGAACATTCTCGCGTCCTACCACCGTGACACTTTGCACTTTGGATACCAAACCAGCAGCTGCCTCCAAAGCAATGAAGCTAGATCCGAGGCAAACGACGTTGGACTCGGGGGCAATGGATGCCAATATAGCTTTAGTGTCTGCCAACTCACGCACGGTGCGGACGTTCTCCAAGTTGACACCTGGAATGGGCGGGCGGAAGGCAGAGCAGCCTGTGGCCAAGTAGATCTTGTCGTATTTCACCACATAACCGTTGCTGCAGTGGAGTTCTTTTTGGGCTGTGTCCAGTTTTTCGGCTGCCACTCCCAACCATAGCTCAATATCGTACTCCTTGTAGAACTCCTCGTCGCGGAATCGCAGCTGCTCAATCTCTAGATTCATAGCTTTGGAGATCTTGACACGATCGTAGGGTAAATAGTCCTCTCGGCAAACAAAGATGAGGCGGCCTGTAAAGCCCTCCTGTCGTATGGTTTCCACGGCTACAGCGCCTGAGGGACCACCGCCAACCACAATAAACACTCGCTGATCATCGGGCTTACGTCGAACCATATTCTTGAGTCGCTTAGTGTTGGCCAGATCCGATCGCTTGGCTCGGAGCATCACCTGTCCCTTATTGCTCACCTCCACGCGATAGCACGGCAGCGAATCGAGTCCGGGGAAATCCTCAATATCGCCGTTTTCCAAATTGAAGCAAGCGCCGTGCCAGGGACAACGGACGCGCCCCAAGCCCAAGGCTCCAGTCTGGAGCGGTGCTCCATAATGGGTGCACTTAGCTCCTACCGCTAATAGGCGATCGTTTTGCTTTACCAACAGTACACGGGTATCTTCATCGAAGTCCACCTGCTTCATCTCGTTCTCATTCAGATCCGCGATATTGCAGTCCACACGGACCGCACTGGTGTACTCTGAATCCGGGGAAGACGCTTCCGTCGACATGGTTGTACTAGGACTCTGGGTGCTGCACTTGGACTGGTAGGAACCCACGGCACCACCTGGTGAAGTCATCGTGCAACGAGAGAAACAAAGTGAAACGGAGATAAAGATATAGATAACAAGAGTGTGTGGTTGTGTTGGCCTATAAAATTTTTCCAGTTTTTCTTTAGGGTTTAAGGGAAAGTCTGGCGTAGCTTACTGCTCAGGTAGAAATTAAGATTTGAGATCAGTCAAGAAGATGCCTCGCTTGCGTTCAGAAGTCTTTATGGGACTGCTAATGGTCCTAGGATCGGTGGTATCGCGACCGCATCTCAGCAACCTCCAGGAACTGGAGCTGAGTTCGCTGCGCACCAACAGACAGCTGTTGCAGGCGGAAATCGCCCGTTTGTTTTTGGAACAACCTCCTCGAGCAGAAACTCAACTCCTGCTAGAGGATCTGCAACTGAGAGATCATCAACTAGATCTTCAAATAGAGAATTTGCAGGGAATCGGCAAGGGCAAGAGCACCCAGAGCCTGGCTATCAATCTGACCGCTGACTTTGAGCACCTGCAGCTCAAACTGGATGATTTAAAACGCCAACTTGAGTTTCTAGATGGCAGGTTTGCCTCACAAGAAAAGCAACTGGAAGGACACTCATCGGAAATAGCACTGCCGGCTGCCCCCGGGTTGGGTGCCTTCTTCTGGGGACCCTTGCTGACCATGCCGGAATTTCCGCAGGGGAGTGTGGTCAGTGACCAGCAACATAACCACAACATCCATCAGCAGGATCACCAGCAGGATCAGCAGCAGGTATCAAGTCCCTCCATCATTAAAAGAGTGCTGGACATGCTTAGACCATCTGTAGGAGTAGCAGCTCTGCGGAGCCGTTGGTCTGAGTCGGATAAATCAGCTGGAACGGGCTCACTAACGGCTAAGCCTGTACACATAGTTAGCGCCGATGAACTCCTTCCACAGCTGAAGGACCAGCGAAGATTCCTGGACAATGCCATCACACGACTAGAGCTTTTGGCGGTCAAGAAGGACACAAAACACAAAGAATGATGGATAAGACTTTAAATAAATTATAAGAAAATTGACAATGATTCGAAAACATTTCTTTATAACCGAAAGAAAGATAATTATCGAGTAATTTATTTTAATATATAATTATATATAAAAAAAAAACAGAAATAAGAAGGTTCAAAGTTATATAAGATTTCCCTCCTTTATGATTTTAAGCTTGTAATAAAAATATAATATGGAAAAATCCCTTAAAAACTAGAAATGTAATATTACAAATTTTATTCGCAGACCTATAAGGGAAGGCTAGCAGGTGTTGCCACCGATGGTTACCGACCATAACAAAGCGGATCTTAGCGACAAGTTCGGATCGATTGACTCATACGACCTACTTCAATGTCAGTACAACTCAGCACAAGTCAATAGCTACGTCACCAAGAAAAGCCAGACGGTGAGGAAGCATAAGCGTGACACCTGTAAACCTGTGTTTTACCCTGTTCCAGTCGATTCTGATGTCTACACGCCCCTATCTCAAGTGACTGGCTTTATGATGTATGCATATTATGGTATCGCTGTTATATCGCTGATAAGGGGAACGATAAAGCTTCGATGATGAGGCTTTTACTGAAATCAAACAGTTGGGCCCTCGAAATGATACGGGACAGCAAACTACAAGAGAAGCAAGTCATCTCAGACTGAAATACAGTGAACGGAAAAAATACACTTTCGAAGGGAGAAAATAAGGTATGGTCTATTATAACAAAATATCTTATATGGTTTTAATAATTTTAGAAAGCCATGTAACCTAAGTAATATATTTATTTTTTTCGTTCTGTTAACAAACTTCAACCTTGCACTGTACATTCCTAGCCTCCTCCAACTCTCGGGTCTAATTAGCAACAATTCGCCATGTTACCACAGTTGGGTTTCTCAAACACGCTTGGTTTAAACCGGTTGGCCTTGCCCAACTCATGTGAGTCAAAAGCCCGTCCAAATAATAATAATAACAATTGCATGAGAACAAGTTTGACCAAAATAAAACAACTCACGAAATCAGGTAGCACCGAAAAGGATTGAATAGACCGCAGTTAAGAGAATGTTTCGACCGACTTTAAGAGCCAAATAACGCTTAGACACCGGCAGTTGTCGAACGACGAATGAATTGGGGACCGGAGACCAACGCTGCTGCCTTCAATTTAAGCGAAGCGGGGCCCCAACGATGAGCCCAAGAGAACGGAAAGCAAAGGCAACGGCAATAGGCAAGAGCAAAAGGCATAGGCAAAATTACGATAGCGGTGACTAACAGCAGCTGCACGTACAGTGAATATCGATTAGCAGAGACATGCGATCCGAGCTCATAGGTTACCTCCTTTAAAGCGCATAAAAAATATTTGATTTCTTAAATATAAAGAGGGTAAATTTAGTTCATTAGCAAAGCTAAAGATTGAAAGTTATCCCTCACCAAAACAACTAATTAGGTTCACTAATAACTACTGTGGCAATGACGCAGCATGTAAGCCAAGTTGCGTGCTCCCCCTATCCATATCTCTTTCTCAATCTTAGCCTTATGCCGCTGAGACAATTATCTAAGCACCCCTCTCCGGCAACGCCCCTAAAAACGGGTCATTCCCATTCGCCTAATCACAATTTCTATCAATTGGCCTCGTTCGATTGGTAAAAGGAGCACGGCAATGTTAACTATCATATCATCTACGACATGACCAAACACTTTATAAATTGTAGGCAGAAATTGTGTGATCGGATCGAGATGCATAGGTAACGGTGGAACTGTTGTTAATTAAGATCTTAACTTTGATAAAATGGAATTATTGAATGAAACTATTTTCCCTTTAGGAAAATTATTAATCTTACAATAGGAGAATTCAGTTTAGCTGTAAATAAATATTCAGAAGTACGAAAAGCCCTATTCTGTAACCACAAAATAACAATTCGAAAGTTATCCCTCAGAACATCTGGTAATTACCTGTGGACTTTTCTTTTTTGGGTGTACTACCCGTCGTTTTGTACTCCTTGCAGTTGACGGAACCCATTGTGTGTAGGCGTCGATGTGTACTGAGTATTCCCAAATTTTTCCTGTTTTTTTTTAATATTTTTAAATTGTATAATAATGAAATTCGGATCTACACATCCAGCACAAAGCAGTTTTTACCTAGGTTCAAGGTCGAAAATCCTTAGAAGGTATTTAATGCCTCTTTGCGTTTTGGCCAAATTTAGAGCTGCTCGATAGGGTTGCCACCTGAAAGTTGAATTTGCAGTTTAAAAGCTTGGTTTTTCCACTTAATTACAATCAATCAATGTATTAAAACCCGTTATCAGCTGGTTATTTCCACGAGTGTTATTAATATTTTTCATTTATTCCTCCAGGGGCTGAGTCATCAACCGCAGATGAATATTCCAAATTCCTAAACGTTTTTGAGATGTTGTTTTCTGCAGCAGACGCACATCGCATTGTTTATCTGCGTGCTCTTCGTCGCAAGTCACCACTCACCATTCACCAGGGGCAATAACAATAACAAAAACAAAACAACTGGAATAGCGTGGAAGGAGAGAACGTGAGAGTGTGCAACAGGTCTGTTCTGTGCCGAGAATGGACCAAGAATGCTGCTTGGCGAGAGAGCGCTGGGAAAGCAGGAGCAGGAGAGAGCGAGAGCGAGGCACGTCTGGCGCGCGTGAACTGCGAACCGCGTATGACGCGCAACTTCATCGCTGGACTGGACTGGAAATGGAAGCTTCGTGCCTCCGCAACACATACGCACAGCTGGGGTGTGTGTGTGTGTGTACTCGCACTGCGCACAGGGGCGGTCATGATAGTAATATCAAACTCTGATATCTCTAAGGGTAACTTCTAATATGTATTTCTAATTTTTGCACTACCATTACGTTTAGTAATCAGTTCGATTATGATTAGTTAAGATAGTGTAAAATCTATACTAAAAATAATAAGATTTTAAAACGAAAACCAAGTTTACTTTAGAAACCAAGACGTAAAGAAACAACACAACAGATGCTTCCCTTAACTTATTTTGCAGTAGTAGCAACTAAATGTAAGATAACGTTAGGAATTATCGTTTTGACCGCAATTGTTTGTCTCTGATTTTTTGAGAATGTACTACACTACCAAAGGCATACGTCTGTATGCCTTACTGGCAAACACGTCGCGACCTTGCCGCACTTCACTCACAAGCAATCGGTTCACCTCCTTTGCCTGCCATGCCCCCCGGGCCCAAGAACCACTTGCCGAACCTCTTACCGGCATTTATTTGAAATGGCCATCAACAAGAAGTCATAAAGAGAGTAGCACATAACTTGGCCTTCGTCGTGTTACAGAACAATGCACCCGGCACCCAATCCACCTGTTGCCGGTGCCCACTGTGCCACAGTCAATGCCAGAAGAATTGCCTCACCAACAGCGGAACTAGAACATGGAAAATTCAGTGTTTTCATTATGGTTGGATAGCGTCGTCGCGCTGAGTAACCCTTTCCACGAACTTGCAGTCACCTCTTTTATGATTAATTTTAAAAGGCTTGTTCTGTTAGCAAAAGTTAGTTATAGACTTGTTGATAACTATTTAGCTTACACAAAAGAGAAAATATGTCACACTGTACTGAACAAATTGTTGATAACTCCTTATCTACAAGGAACACAGGCTACGGCTGAATGTTTTTGATTTTTGTATATGTTTATTATGTAGGCATAAGATAAGAAATATCCAAACTATTATTGAATGTAACAAAAAAGGGTAACCCTATCGATACCTTTTTAATTTGAAGCAATGCTAATATCTCAAACTCAAGCCCTTCTGCTTACAAACTTTGTCAGGTATTATGTGTGTCACTGTCTTGAGCCCCTTTTCGTCAATGTCTTTTTTATCGGACTTAGAGAATTACATATATATAAATGGCTTTTTCTAAACTTAATCAGGACTTGTCGGAGTGACGGCTGGCATTTGAAAGCTAATGCTGAGCTATCAAACTACAGTTGAAACTCCTTAAAAATCGCGATCTAGGTTTTTAATTAAAATTTAAAAATAATAATTAAATTAAAAATGACTTAATAAATTTTTGAACTAATGAAACAAAAATATTTCTTCCCATCGCAGTCTTTTTACTTTTATGCGAGTCGGCTCCACATTCACATTCCAGTGGAACCCCAAACTTACAATCCGTGTGATTGCTCAATTCCCAAGTGATTCGGCTTCCCTGCGGAAATATCAGCGCTAATAGTAGTTAAACCACTGGCTGGACTAGATAATTATCGTTCCGATGGCACGTCTAAGATAAGTATGAGCCACCTCAAAGCGGCACGTTTGTAGATATGTATGATTCTTTCTATCGTGCACATACGAACTAATTATGTATAAATTTATATATGAACTACTTACAAAGTCATTTTTAACTGTTGTTCTTCATGCTTTGCATATTGCAGATAATGTACGAGTATTACTTTGTTGAATTATTTGTCCTAAATGCAAAACATAGAAGTCCGCTTGCTTACATTTGGCCAGTGCTACCGGACCAGTTTAAAAATTGCGCTTTTAATAAGCAAAGTATTCCCTGCAAAAAAGCGGCGGTCACACTGGCTGTCAATTTGCAATGAATTGAAGTGTATTATCCTGTCAGATTTTGACGACAGCAAACCCCATTGACAACTTGAAAGAAAACCGGACGAAAAAACTTTAATTCATAAAGAAGAATGAACTCAAAAAAAATCAAAGTGGAAGGCTTCGTGATAATTGACGGCTCTTACTTGGAGGGCGGCGGACAGGCGCTACGCAACGCCCTGAGCTTCAGCTGCATTTTGGGCAAACCGGTGCGCGTCATCAATATCCGAGCCAATCGCCCGAAGCCAGGGCTATCTCATCAGCACCTCCATGGTGTCAATCTGCTTCGGGACATTACCGATGCGCAAGTAAAGGGTAATGCCTTCTCCTCCACCACACTTGAGTTCACACCTAGCGCTATCGTGGGTAACTCATACTACGTCGATACTCATACGGCGGCTAGCATTACCCTGATTTACCAAATGGCCCTTCCAGTACTACTCTTCGCCGGACGTTCCTCTAGTCTGATAGTGCAAGGGGGTACAAACGTGTCCTTTGCTCCGCAGGTGGAGTATATGCAGAAAGTGCTCTTACCGAACCTAAAGTTTTTTGGAGCAGACTTCTACCTGAAGGTTCTCAAGTACGGATTCTACCCGCGCGGCATGGGAACCTGTAAGTTGGACGTTAAACCGGTGAACAAGCTGCACGCTGCACAGCTTATAGACTTCGGCAGCGTCAAGTCGGTCAGCGGAGTGGCTTTCTGTGCCGGACGCGTGCCCAAGAGCATTGCGAAAGATATGGAAGAGGCGGCGCGAGCCGTGATTCCCCGTCTCATACCTTCCCAGCACTTCAGTATCGAATCGGTGAAGCATTCGTTGGAGAGGGCTTGCGACAACGGTGCAGGCATCTTGATCACGGCCCAGACCTCTACCGGCTGTGTGCTAGGTGCCGACATGTTGGATAAGAAAAAAACTAATGCTCATGTGCTTGGCGATGAGGCCGCCTGCAAGCTTGCCGAGTACGTGTGCAAGGAGGTGTGCGTGGATGAACACATGCAGGACCAGCTGATCATCTATATGGCACTGGCAGATGGTCACTCAAAGATGCGTACTGGCCCGCTGTCAAACCACACGCGCACCGCCATCTATATAGCTGAGCAAATGGCGGGGGTTAAGTTTAACGTGGAGGTGGAGTCCACCGATAAGATGCTGGTTTCCTGCAGGGGCCTGGGAATACTCAACGTGTGGTCTTAACAACCGATCTTTAATTTACGGCAATCTTAAATTAATGTCTACATATATAGAGAATATATACTTGGTTCTAAAGGCGTCTGAATATGGCGAGGAAGTGATCACCATTGTTACGCACCACCTTGGCGCCCTCCTCGCTGCTTTGGTAAAGCTTCGGAGTAATGGGATCGGACTTCTATAGATTGGAAATAGGAAAGATTACTTTCTGACAATCTTCAGAATTTATGTTGCTGTGGTACGTACCGACTCTTCTTCGGTGAGACGCTCGTAAAGCGGATGCTCCTCCATATGAGCCACAATCCACTTGTGTAGGTCCTCTACATCTGTCATAGTATACACTAGGCCCTGGGTAAAGAGTTCTTATTTTGCAGTCAAAATGTTTAATAGATTGTGTTACTCACCCCTCTTCTAAGGACGTAGGCATACTCGGAGAGAAGGGCCTGGTTGATAATTCGCCACTTGTGCTTGGCGCGTTTAAAATGCGGGTCCGGGTAGAGAAAGAACATCTTCTCCAGCTGTCCCTTTGTAAAGTAATTGGGCAGATACTTCATGGCGTTGGTACGCAAGCAAGCAACGTTCTGATAAGCACATTCACCGGTGGACAAGCTCTTTTGGCGCAGCGCCGCAATTCGGTCCACGACGTAATCCGACACTTTAACTCTTATTTCCATGCCGATGGAGAACGTCTCGGGGAACATCTCACCCAAGGTAATTAGAAACCCACCATATCCACATCCAATGTCGGCAAAGCTCACCTGGTCACCCGGTTGGATGTTTGGGTACAATGAGCGCCAATCCATATCCTCCGGGCGAGCAGGACTAAGGGATAACTATGTTAATGAGCTTCTATTTGTTAAAGGGGGCCATTTTATAAGCTACTTACTAGTCAAAACTGTGGTCTGCAATGGGATTTGAATGTGCTCTCTGGCGATAGTACCGTTTCTGAGGCAGTCCAGTTACAGCGGACGTGGGGTTCAGCACATCCAGCTCCTGATTCTTTTCCTGATCACGTCCACCGGTGGCCACCATAATTGGAGAACAGTAGAGTCGATTGATGGGAGCACACTGAGAGCATGAAAACAGCACGTTGTGTCTGCCATTAACACGTATAAAAATATACTAAAACATACCTTTTGGTAATGTTAAGGGTATTCCATAGGAAAATATTTACCAAGTTCAATATGAGAACGAGTCAATATTCCCTATCTTGTTTTTTTTTATAATATTGTTGGAATACGGTATACAGGGTAAGATTACGATTAAGATTTGATAAGTAATAGCAATATGTTTTTTTTATTTATTTAACATACTCAAAACGGGACACACAGATTGAAGAATGAATGTCTTGAGACGCTAAAGACCCAAATAAACTTTCCTCATCATTCGTTTGTTGATTTTTGGAATTTTAATTTTGGCCCAAATATTGAATTTTTGGTAAGGGGTACGTACGTATTATTGTTCTGATTTTTTGGTGCGAGCTTTGTTTTCAGGGCGGAGAATTCAGAAAACCGATTGTTAACAACATTTGTTAACAACATTTTGCTAAAGCTAAGAAACTGCAGAAAAGCCGAACTCTTTGCTGCCAAAAGTCGTAACATACTTTCGGGCATAACAAAAATCAGTTTTTCGGCCATAGCACAGCCAAAAATGGTTCAAATGAGGAATGTAATACCTCGTAGGGCTCGTAACTTGATTGTTATGATTCCCAATAGGTTTGCATTCAAATCTGGGAAACTTCATTTTTGGCCCATTTTTGAAAATTTCGATGATGGTACCCCTTATCAAAAATGCGAAATTTGGGCCAAAATTGATTTTCCCAAAATCGAAAAACCAATGATAGGGGTGATAAGTATTGGTCGTTAGCAGCACAAAAAAGTCGTTTTTTTCGCTGTGCGTCTTGTTTTGACCGAGCTAGAGCTAAATAACCGAAAATAATGCTGCAAACTTCTGTTAAAAATCGGTTTCCTGAGTTCCCCGCCCTAAAAACAGAGCCCGCACCAAAAATCAGATCAATAATGATATAAGCAAGTATAGGGGTGTTAAGAGCCGGTAGTTAGCTGTACAAAACAGTCATTGTTTTAGCCGTGCATCTTGTTTTGACCAAGCTAGAGCTAAGAAACTGCAGAAAAGCCGAACTCTTTGCTGCCAAAAGAGCTGGCATCAAAAAATCAGAGCAATAATGATAAAAGCAAGTATAGGGGTGTTAAGAGCCGGTAGTAAGCTATACAAAACAGTCATTGTTCTAGCCGTGTGTTTTGTTTTGACCAAGCTAGAGCTAAGAAACTGCAGAAAAGCCGAACTCTTTGCTGCCAAAAGTCGTAATATACTTTCGGGCACAACAAAAATCAGTTTTTCGGCCATAGCACAGCCAAAAATGGTCCAAATGCGGAGTGTAATACCTCGTAGGGCTCGTAACTTGATTGGTATGATTCCCAATTGGTTTGCATTCAAATCTGGGAAACTTCATTTTTGGCCTATTTTAGAAAATTTTGATGATGGTACCCCTTATCAAAAATGCGAAATTTGGGCCAAAATTGATTTTCCCAAAATTGAAAAACCAATGATAGGGGTGGTTAGTATTGGTCGTTAGCAGCACAAAACAGTCGTTATTTTGGCTGTGCGTCTTGTTTTGACCGAGCTAGAGCTAAATAACCGAAAATAATGCTGCACATTTCTGTTAAAAATCGGTTTCCTGAGTACACCCGCCCTAAAAGCAGAGCTCGCACCAAAAATCAGATCAATAATGATATAAGCAAGTATAGGGGTGTTAAGAGCCGGTAGTTAGCTGTACAAAACAGTCATTGTTTTAGCTGGCATCTTGTTTTGACCAAGCTAGAGCTAAGAAACTGCAGAAAAGCCTAACTCTTTGCTGCCAAAAGAGCTGGCACCAAAAAATCAGAGCAAATATGATAAAAGCAAGTATAGGGGTATTAAGAGCCGGTAGTAAGCTATACAAAACAGTCATTGCTTTAGCTGTGTTTCTTGTTTTGACGAAGCTAGAGCTAAGAAACTGCAGAAAAGCCGAACTCTTTGCTGCCAAAAGTCGTAACATACTTTCGAGCACAACAAAAATCAGTTTTTCGGCCATAGCACAGCCAAAAATGGTCCAAATGAGGAATGTAATACCTCGTAGGGCTCATAACTTGATTGGTATGATTCCCAATTGGTTTGCATTCAAATCTGGGAAACTTAATTTTTGGCCTATTTTTGAAAATTTTGATGATGGTACCCCTTATCAAAAATGCGAAATTTGGGCCAAAATTGATTTTCCCAAAATCGAAAAACCAATGATAGGGGTGGTTAGTATTGGTCGTTAGCAGCACAAAACAGTCGTTCTTTTGGCTGTGCGTCTTGTTTTGACCGAGCTAGAGCTAAATAACCGAAAATAATGCTGCACATTTCTGTTAAAAATCGGTTTCCTGAGTTCCCCGCCCTAAAATCAGAGCTCGCACCAAAAATCAGATCAATAATGATATAAGCAAGTATAGGGGTGTTAAGAGCCGGTAGTTAGCTGTACAAAACAGTCATTGTCTAGCCGTGCATCTTGTTTTGACCAAGCTAGAGCTAAGAAACTGCAGAAAAGTTGAACTCTTTGCTGCCAAAAGAGCACCAAAAAATCAGAGCAAATATGATAAAAGCAAGTATAGGGGTATTAAGAGCCGGTAGTAAGCTATACAAAACAGTCATTGCTTTAGCTGTGTTTCTTGTTTTGGCCAAGCTAGAGCTAAGAAACTGCAGAAAAGCCGAACTCTTTCCTGCCAAAAGTCGTAACATACTTTCGGGCACAAAAAAATCAGTTTTTCGGCCATAGCACAGCCAAAAATTGTCCAAATGAGGAATGTAATACCTCGTAGGGCTCATAAATTGATTGCTATGATTCCCAATTGGTTTGCATTCAAATCTGGGAAACTTAATTTTTGGCCTATTTTTGAAAATTTTGATGATCAAATTTCAAAAATGCGAAATTTGGGCCAAAATTGATTTTCCCAAAATCGAAAAACCAATGATAGGGGTGGTTAGTATTGGTCGTTAGCAGCACAAAACAGTCGTTCTTTTGGCTGTGCGTCTTGTTTTGACCGAGCTAGAGCTAAATAACCGAAAATAATGTTGAAAATTTCTGTTAAAATTCGGTTTCCTGAGTTCCCCGCCCTAAAAACAGAGCTCGCATCAAAAATCAGATCAATAATAATATAAGCAAGTATATGGGTGTTAAGAGCCGGTAGTTAGCTGTACAAAACAGTCATTGTTTTAGCCGTGCATCTTGTTTTGACCAAGCTAGAGCTAAGAAACTGCAGAAAAGCCTAACTCTTTGCTGCCAAAAGAGCTGGCACCAAAAAATCAGATCAATAATGATATAAGCAAGTATAGGGGTGTTAAGAGCCGGTAGTTAGCTGTACAAAACAGTCATTGTTTTAGCCGTGTGTCTTGTTTTGACCGAGCTGGAGCTAAGAAACTGCAGAAAAGCCGAACCCTTTGCTGCCAAAAGTCGTAACATACTTTCGGGCACAAAAAAAATCAGTTTTCGGCCATAGCACAGCCAAAAATGGTCCAAATGAGGAATGTAATACCTCGTAGGGCTCGTAACTTGATTGGTATGATTCCCAATTAGTTTGCATTCAAATCTGGGAAACTTCATTTTTGGCCTATTTTAGAAAATTTTGATGATGGTACCCCTTATCAAAAATGCGAAATTTGGGCCAAAATTGATTTTCCCAAAATCGAAAAACCAATGATAGGGGTGGTTAGTATTGGTCGTTAGCAGCACAAAACAGTCGTTATTTTGGCTGTGCGTCTTGTTTTGACCGAGCTAGAGCTAAATAACCGAAAATAATGCTGCACATTTCTGTTAAAAATCAGTTTCCTGAGTTCCCCGCCCTAAAATCAGAGCTCGCACCAAAAATCAGATCAGTAATGATATAAGCAAGTATAGGGGTGTTAAGAGCCGGTAGTTAGCTGTACAAAACAGTCATTGTCTAGCCGTGCATCTTGTTTTGACCAAGCTAGAGCTAAGAAACTGCAGAAAAGTTGAACTCTTTGCTGCCAAAAGAGCTGGCACCAAAAAATCAGAGCAAATATGATAAAAGCAAGTATAGGGGTATTAAGTAGTAGTAAGCTATACAAAACAGTCATTGCTTTAGCTGTGTTTCTTGTTTTGGCCAAGCTAGAGCTAAGAAACTGCAGAAAAGCCGAACTCTTTCCTGCCAAAAGTCGTAACATACTTTCGGGCACAAAAAAATCAGTTTTTCGGCCATAGCACAGCCAAAAATGGTCCAAATGAGGAATGTAATACCTCGTAGGGCTCATAAATTGATTGCTATGATTCCCAATTGGTTTGCATTCAAATCTGGGAAACTTAATTTTTGGCCTATTTTTGAAAATTTTGATGATCAAATTTCAAAAATGCGAAATTTGGGCCAAAATTGATTTTCCCAAAATCGAAAAACCAATGATAGGTGTGGTTAGTATTGGTCGTTAGCAGCACAAAACAGTCGTTCTTTTGGCTGTGCGTCTTGTTTTGACCGAGCTAGAGCTAAATAACCGAAAATAATGTTGAAAATTTCTGTTAAAATTCGGTTTCCTGAGTTCCCCGCCCTAAAAACAGAGCTCGCATCAAAAATCAGAACAATAATAATATAAGCAAGTATATGGGTGTTAAGAGCCGGTAGTTAGCTGTACAAAACAGTCATTGTTTTAGCCGTGCATCTTGTTTTGACCAAGCTAGAGCTAAGAAACTGCAGAAAAGCCTAACTCTTTGCTGCCAAAAGAGCTGGCACCAAAAAATCAGATCAATAATGATATAAGCAAGTATAGGGGTGTTAAGAGCCGGTAGTTAGCTGTACAAAACAGTCATTGTTTTAGCCGTGTGTCTTGTTTTGACCGAGCTGGAGCTAAGAAACTGCAGAAAAGCCGAACCCTTTGCTGCCAAAAGTCGTAACATACTTTCGGGCACAAAAAAAATCAGTTTTTCGGCCATAGCACAGCCAAAAATGGTCCAAATGAGGAATGTAATACCTCGTAGGGCTCGTAACTTGATTGGTATGATTCCCAATTAGTTTGCATTCAAATCTGGGAAACTTCATTTTTGGCCTATTTTTGAAAATTTTGATGATG